AAAAGACTTGTTTCAAATTATCTTTGACTTTGCAGAACATTGCGCACGTGCCTACGCAGACTTGGAGACACCGGCTCTGCGACCGCTACGGGAGAAAATAGCCTCACGATTGGGCTTTGATACGAGGGAACAGGTTGTTATGGCGTGTATACTATAGTGTAAGAGTCAATAGTTATGCTTATGGGAGAATCTCCTGGTGTAGGAGCAGGCCTGCTAGTTCTTCCTTCAGTACTAGTAGAAGACATGCGGAATACTGATTATCAGCTCTGCAGTCTAGTATTATTTCTGCAGTCGAGCATCACAATCTCTCTAACCTCTCAAACGGCGGCGATGACAACAGTGACGTGGCTGAGGAGAGCTTCTTGTCTTCGACAGAAGCGGAATTTCAGTCTGATGGAGCGTCGGCCCGAAGGAAGTCTGAACTAGGCGACACAGACGACTTGGGTCGAATAAAGCGGAAATCAGTTACCGTATTATTGACTGGCGAGGAAGTGGGAGGTGCTGAGAGGAGAAATTCCGGCACAAACCAGGTCCTCCCCAGTGGAGCAGAGCAAACTGCTAAGCAGAATAACGGCGTCCATCGTTCTTCCTCAACGAATTTGATCAGACGACCTTCCACGAGTCTTGCGGCTGTTGGTGAGGTCGAGGATGGCAACCACAAGTCGTGTCCTAGGAATGTACTAAGTCGTCGTGGTTCTGGACCCCGAGAAGGAGACAAAAATCCTGAGCAAAATCCTGAGCAACAAGGTGGCTCAGGGTCTAGTCGTAGTGCCTGTAGGAGTGTGACTCCAGCTTCGACTAGAACCGGCCAGCGGCGTGAGGAGCGTGTCAAAGAAAGGCAAGAGTCTAGGCAACGGGCACGCCAGCAGAGGGACAGTGACGGTGATTCTCCAGATGTTGCCACCTCCTATAACGTTCATGTTGCTGGTTCAACTACATCTGTGAGTAATCCTAGCAGCTTTTTCGGAGATGATCATGAAGGTCCTTCTTCTTCGGCGGCAGCACAGGAGGACAATAAGAATGAGGCTGGTGCTGGTGATGATGCGATGAGTAAGAGGACTCCACAATCACAACTTCTCAGCAAGGATGAAGTAGACGACGAAGGTAGGGCAGCCACCTCCTGCTCGACTGCCAATAGTACGAGACGAGGTCTCACTAGAGACAACCTCCAAGGCAACAAGGAGACGAATCCGTGTACAACAACGTCTCCAGGTCAGGAGACTCTTGCTTCGCCAGTGGAAGAAGTGATATCTGCGATCTCCAGCAGACCTGGTGGCTCTGCCCGTAGTAATTTGCAGCCTATGCAGACGCGAGGGCCGCCAAAGAGAACAGTCACTCCTAGAGGAGGTGGAGACGAAGTAGACTCGAGACGGACAGCCACTCCGAGAGAGCCCTCGTCCACTTCGGAAGTTGGGAGTACAACAACTAGAACAAATACTAGAGAGCAGCATAGCACTAGTGCGAGGACAAGCACGACTCGAACACCTAGGGATGGCGACCAGCAGCAACAGCGGGGAAGTGCTGTTACTGCTGCAGGGACAACGAAAGAACGCGTTTCAGGACGACCGTCAAGGAATCCGTTCACGCGGACATCCTCGAGCAATCCCTATGTGTCGGGTGGAGGGGTACTTTTCATTTTTAGATTCTGTCCTTCTAGACCGGTACGCGTTGAAAGTAGGCTACATTCTGAATTGCTCCATTTCTAGACCGGTACGCGTTGAAAGTAGGCTACATTCTGAATTGCTCCATTGTCTGAAAATATTCTTGCTGCTCCGACGAATCATGCTTGAGAGCGAAATCGACTGAACAAACATATCCCTGTCCGAAAAAGTAGATGTTGACAAAATTGTACTTTCTCAGGATCCCTCCGCTTCCGCTTCCGCCCGTCCTCCTACTGGCTCTACGGGTGGCCCACCGAGACGGAAGCCCGTCATGCAGCACATCAATAGAAGCATCAAGAACGACATCTCCGCTTTCCACCATTACATGCAAGCAACATCGCCAATGGGAAGCAACAACGGAAGCAGTATCACTATCAGTGGAGTTAGTAGGAATAGTGGTCGCTCACATCACGACTTGCATTCTTCTAGGAATAGGGGACACCATCTTCATGGCCTAGGTCACATGTCAGCGGTAAGCCCTAGAACTGCGGCTGAAGGAAGCTACGACGAAGTTACATCTAGTAGAGTTAGCGGCACAAGCAGCAGAGTATCTGGTACTAGAACTAGTACTACAGGGCATGACTATTCTTCATCTTCGTCCAGGAACATGCCACATAGTAGCAACAGTACGAATCCGCATATTAGCACATCATCCTCTTCAACAAATGCTCATCATGGATCATCATCTAGTAGGTTGAACAAGATGCCACCTGGAAGACCGCCAGTTGGTCCGTCTGGGCAAGGTGCAGAACATCAGAACTCTAGTAGTGCAATGCCTAGTAGTAGTAGGGGCATGATGAGATCGATTAACAGTACTAGTGGAATGAGTTCTAGTGGAATGAGATCTGGAGCTGGAGGTCAACAAAAGACCGGGAGTAATCTGCGAGCTTTATCGCGAAAAAGTCTACGCGGCTATTGCGACAAATATGAGCGTGAAGTCCTTGGCCAATTGTTCGAGACAGTGCCTGAAGATAGCGAAGCAATGCTGTCGGATGGGGATGGGTTTTCGGATGATGGGATGTCAGATGTGTCTTTTGTGAGTCAATTGCGAGCACAGAGGAGGCGCATTTCCTCAGGTGGTCATCATTCGTCGTTTACATTCGGTGCAGGAGCCCGCACCCCGGTTAGCACGACTGGAGGCAGCAGCTCGTTTCATGGCGCGGCCATGTCAGAGGTGGGTTACATGATTAAGGCTGGGTTACATTAAGGAGGTGGGGTACATTAACCCTAAACCCCAAACGGAAACCCTAAGAGGTGGGTCATTAAGTCTGTCTAGAAGAGTTCGGGTTGGAAGAGTTCGGGTTGGAAGCAGAAAAAGTTGAAATTCTTCAGGGTAATCATAACTTTTCGGGTGGAACAAGCTCTAAAACAAGTGGAGCTGGCGACCCGCGACCAGAAGATGGGCAGAATTATAGTCAAGGTTCGCGACTACGAGAACAAGGACAGCAAGTGGTAGACTTACAACAAGGTATGACGCCGCCTCGTCCCAATGGGTATTCTGGCGGAGGTGCACCAGGAGGAGGTTATAAAAAAAGCTATTCAACAGCAGGAGCAACAAGTTCGAATCATGGATCTCAGCTAGTGGATCCATCCCGCAACTCCATGATGAAGATGAATCAAATGAATAACGCCATGTCCTCCAGTCAACAGCAGCTGCATGGCCCAGCGAGAGGCGGAGGGCCCTCCCCGATTACGTTGCGAGCGGGACAAAGAGGTGGTGGCGATGGACGGGCACCAGCGCGCGTTGGTACGCGACCACGACAACGACCGTTGCCGCCCGTTGGGGAGTAGAGGAGATTGATTTTTTGTAATTACTAGATATCGGGAAAGCCTTGGCACTTCTTTGCCAGCTGCCCCTCACGTTTGCCTTGGCTGTTGCCCCTTTTGTTCCGCCTCGCTGTCTCCAAGTCTTTGCTCTCCTTCACCTTCCTCACCTCCACCTCCCTGCCTTCACCTCCCTGCCTCCATTCCCTATTGCCGCCCGTTGGGGAGTACATGAGATTGATTCAATTTCTTGTTGGAAAGCAACAGGACAACACATGGTCCATCGGTGTGGTTGTATTGCATCACTGTGCCGGAGGAGACTGATTCAGTTTCTTGTTGGGGAAGTTTTCCATTTTTTAGCCATGATTTCTTATCACATTTTACAACAAGACAACGAAGATAACCGAACAACACGTACTAGTATTTAGTACAGTATTTTTTTTTACTTTTTCATTTTTCATCACTTCACAAAATGTAGTTCGGATAAAAATCACGTCATATGTTACTAGGTCTCATCAGCAAGGTCGCTAGCCGAGTGCTATAGGCATTACTATTGTGCTGGTTACAAATTTTTATGTTAGGCGGGACGAAACGGCAGCAGCACGAAGACACTAGCAATAGCGAGGCTTGAACTTCGACGAAAAAAAAGGTTATATTTGAGACAAGAACCAAACGACTTTGAGCTGTTCTAGGTACAAATCATTCATGACAAACACGATCAAGATGTATGGAAGAGAGTTCATTCACTTTTTCAGATCTAGACTAGAGCTAGTAGCCACTTTGATATTTATAAGAAACAAACGTGATATTTAGCGGCTATGTTGTAGATTGATAATGACAGATGACAAGGACAACAAGTGTCTAAAGCACCTCAAAGCGAGCCTCGACACCCCTCAATGTTTCTAACTTTTGAAGAAATCTTGAGAGAAATACAACAAGTTCTAGTAGTTGAAGTTGTACTCCACGACCAGGTGGAGCCACTTATATAGCTTGGTGTTGGTAGAAATAGAATAGTGCCACGAGGATTTTTGATGTTAGAAGTCTTCTTTTTAAAATTAGTGTCACGACCAAAGACGTTGTGCGCTAACTTCTTCGTCGCGAACCAGCTATCAAAGAAGAAAGCAGAACAATGTCCCCGCTGGAAGTACAGCTACAGTTGACAAAGTGTCAGCATCTTCAAACTCGATTGTGCGCAGTGCTGAAACTCAAAATGCGATCAGTGCTGAAACTCAAAATGCGATATGGCGCATGGAGACGAGTAATCAGAACTTTGGACTTTTTGATCGAGAAAAAAAGTCATGGTATTGTTCTTTTCTATCGAGCACGAGCATAGCCTTCGCACCTAGCCGCGTCCAGGCTGATGAAGCACTCCACCTGCCGCCAGTTTGCGAACTGGATAACAAAAAAGGACTCCACTCTTCTAGCTAGCTTCAGGAAAAATGAAGCGAGATCCCCTGACATCTGACATGACTTCGGTAGACCGAGACTCAACATGTTTAGTATCGTGAGTGAGAAGCAAAGGTAGATCGAGAATAAGGTGTGGCTACCAACTCAATATCCAAATTTTTTCGAAACAGAGATGAGTGAAAAGCAAACTTCTCCATAAGATTTTGTTGGTTATTTTTGTGTCTCAAATTTGCTTGGCTATAATTTTGACGTAGCCTACACACCAGGAAAATCTTTTGGGTCAATTATGACATAGTGAGCTCTCGTCGAGCGTCCACGAAAGCAGCAACATGGGCCAGCGGTTAAGCCAGGACTGTGCCCTCTGTTGGGATCCGGAGGAAGCGTCTAGGCAAATACGGAGTAAGAAGCAACAAAAGGCAGCGCTGCAGAAGTAATTTCTATATTCAGACAAGAAGCTGAGAAGTACTTCTATTTGTTTCTGATATAGCTGTTCACCCTCACTGAATGAATGAATGTTCTTTTGAGATTACATCTGTGGTTATCTTAATCCGCACTGCGTTGTAAAGTACTTACCATGACGAGTTCAGCTCGGTGTAAGTTTTGCTTCAAAGTTGGCCGGTAGGGGTCAAACCTGAAGTACATGACCATGACCATGGAGAATATCATGAAGCAAGTTTTTACTCTCCCGAAAGGTTAAGGACAACCCTTCTATGTAAGTGTCAGTCTCTACTCTAACCTAACCTCTCTACTCTGGTTAATAAACGTCAAGTGCGTCTGATTACTTCAGAACAACAACAAACCACTGCTCAGCAGGTACGAGGATCTCCTCGCTGCAGTGGAGTATGGCGCAGATGCTAGAACGATAGAGGAGGAAATAGCGAAACACGATGCTTACTGCAATGGGAAGGGAGCTGATTGGAGGAGAGAAATGGAGTCCAGACCTCAATTCGCAGAAGTACAAGCGAAGAGAGCGAAATTGAGGATATAGCATAATGTTTGCGGAAAGCTTGTTATGTCACACCAATGAATTAGACATACTGCTTGCCTGGCACATCAATCAATCAATAGCAACATCTTAAAATCTTGTTTTTCTTCAAGCAGACCTTGCCACACCATGCCCTCGCATGATCCCAGACTCCTTTACTTGAAGCTCTTTGTGCATGATGTTCCGTTGTCATCTGGGCATCTGGTCTGGCACATTTGTCAAAAAATCGCAATCTATCAACACGTCAATCTCTCATTGAACGCATCAATCTCTCATTGAGCGCATCAATCATAGTTCCCCCATGTCATAATCTCCGCGCACACACACCCAGCGCAGCAGAACCGGAAGAAATTTTTGATCATCTTTGTCCCACATTAACAGCGACTCTGTTGTGTTGGCCCTCAGCAAAATTCCCACCAGTGACGTGGATCAAAGGCATTCCTAGCCCAGCTATATTACTCAGTTCTACAACTGCGCAGCGTGGGTTAACAACCTTCTCTGTTGATCTATTTCACAACATCTGAGAATGGAGCACGAAGAGTTCAGCCACAATCTGTCTCAATCTATTTTCAGACACGAAAGAGATTCTACATGACGTTCACGAAGATGCACGAGGCTCATGCGCACTTCGCGTTGATGATTCAGAAAGTGTAATGCACGACCACAGAGTGAGATGAATACTGGAGGCTATAGTTCTAGTAAATTGCCTTGAAACTACAGTCTTCGGGTCAAAATTCAACCGAGTTGATCTTTCCACTACTCTGGTGCAAAAAAAAGTTGATCTTTCCACCAATTTCCACCCCAATCTTCAGTACTACTAGTATAACTCGAGAAGGAGCAAGCGGCCCTCTACAATTGTAGCTGTGTGATGACTGTACTAGCCTTTGAATCAATAGGAGAGAGACCTTCTGGAGCCATGGCCCCTGCTGTCGCAAGCCAGAAACCTCTTAATCTTGATCTTAACGACATCTTCTGAAGAAAATGCTCTGTTGAAAATCTGAAAAGATTCTTCGCTCACATGGGTTCTCTTCTATCCCTCTCCAATCCATTTCCATCGAACTCCATGTCCTCTGATTATCCTATTCTTTCCAGGTAGGAGCGAGTACGAACATGAGGGAGTATGGCTACTACTATGCTGAGAGTTGTATTCATAATTTTTCGCGTCGGTTGTATTCTTGAAAACTAGTACATCTTAAGAAATTCTGAAAACTGTTCTAGTCTTAACTGTAGTGCCGGTGTGGTCTGTAACAACCTGTAGGTACTTTTCTTTGTACTTTTTTTATCATTATCTCGTATGGTGCAGTCGCTGTGTAGCCCTGTTCACTTGCACTGTATCCGCAACCTAACCTATGATTAAATTGGAAAAGATAATATTTTCTATACCTCTCCTAGTTAGGTTGGCTCTACCACTATTATTGGAAAATATTCCCTCGGGTTGAACAAATAGAAGGTCTGGTGACGAAAAAGAGACATTCGTACACAATATTCTAGGACTCATTTTTTCTTGTTGTAGTGGGGACTCTACTACTTGAAGGTGATGTTGAGAGATCATTTTAGAAGGTCTGGTTGCTTGATATTATAGCTCCCCTCACGAATTTGTTATAGAGAATCAGCTCTCGTATTCTATTAGGTCGCGTCGCAACAGATACTGCGCCCGTAGAAAAAGTAGGGGCGTCTCATCTTTCTTGTTTTTCCCCCTCACAAGATTTTCCTGTTTGAAGACATCAGCATTCATATTCTACTAGGTCGCGTCTCAACAGATACTGCGCCCGTAGAAAAAGTAGGGGCATCTCATCTTTCTTGTTTTTCCCCCTCACAAGATTTTCCTGTTTGAAGACATCAGCATTCATATTCTACTAGGTCGCGTCTCAACAGATACTGCGCCCGTAGAAAAAGTAGGGGCATCTCATCTTTCTTGTTTTTCCCCCTCACAAGATTTTCCTGTTTGAAGACATCAGCATTCATATTCTACTAGGTCGCGTCTCAACAGATACTGCGCCCGTAGAAAAAGTAGGGGCATCTCATCTTTCTTGTTTTTCCCCCTCACAAGATTTTCCTGTTTGAAGACATCAGCATTCATATTCTACTAGGTCGCGTCTCAACAGATACTGCGCCCGTAGAAAAAGTAGGGGCATCTCATCTTTCTTGTTTTTCCCCCTCACAAGATTTTCCTGTTTGGAGACCCAAGGAGCTGATAAAAACGGCTTCTTTTCTTGTCGAATATGTTCTAGCAGTTGACTGTGCCACGTGTCGAATTCGCTAGAGTTCTAGGTTATTCATTATATCCGAGAGGCCTAGAAGCGCTAGATATTATAGAGATAGAGGGGGTAAGCAGGTAAGGTTATAGGTAGTCCTACTTCTCGCGCTGTGCACTAGTTTGGTGAACCGGTACCCTGGGGCGAACTAGTGGGTGCACATAGCGCGAGAACCGAGCACTTCTCTGGGGCATGCACTGGCTTCTTTTCTATGTTCTAGGTTATTCATTATATCCGAGATGCTACCGATGTAGTACCTCACTAGCTCACTCAATACCAATTTGCTGTGCCTTCTATCGGAGACACTAAAGCTGATTGTCCAGTAGTTATGAACACGAAAATCTACGGTATTAAAGTACTTCTACTATGTTTATACATTCATTCTATGAATTCTCTGAATATTAATATCATAACTAAAGGAAAGTACTTCGTTGGAGGAGTCTAAATATCGGTTTTCAGACGAGGGATTTGAGATGTCGTCTCGACCGGTTTTAGTTTCTACAACACAGGTGCGTAAACAGGAGGCTTCCTATGTTTACCTACGTGGTCGTGGTTAGAAATAGAATTTCGCTTGTCTTGAGGTTGCATTTATTCTTACCTGCTGGGTCATTATTCACTTTCTTATACTAGCCTTTCTACCCCATGGGCTGTTGACTACCGCTACTTTCTTATAGAAGGAATTATAAAGGGGTAGGATACTATTAATAAGATAACTTCTTACCAAGCTGGATGGTGCCCAAGTCTCTTACTTTCCGGATGTCAAACTAGAAAGAACAGAACATCCGGCCAGGAATATGCATAATACTATAACGAATATTTTACGCGGAAGACCAAGCAAACGAAAGAGACGATGTTATAGAAATAAGAGCTATTCTTCTCCTAGTAATAATGAAAGAACTGATGTTGATCTTGTTCATCTTCGCCTTCGTGTTAGGATTTTGAGCTCTTGATCATCTTTGCCGGAATCTTCTCATTTTAACAAAAGCGGAAGAGCCTCTAAGTTTCTCAGACCTACAAGATCATTAGGACCAGGATGATAATGATAATCTCTCGGTCCATTTGCTGAAGTAGAACTCCAATCCATCACCAACATCAGGATAATGATCATAATCTCTTTGCTGAAGTAGAACTCCAATCCATCACCATGGGAAATTGGGAAACTGCCGCGATGCGTAGCGAACTACCATACTAAAGGCGAAGGATTCTACTACTACTCATGCATCTACTGGGGAGTATATTAATATAGTAGTTAATATAAATTATATCATACTTCTGAGTTACTCTACTAGTCATAACTAATGCTCATCCTTATGATTATTATTTGCTGAAGTAGAACTAACCTTTTTTTTGAATTTTGAACCGCCAGAAGTATGCTTCTAGATCTTCTTCTATTTGATGAGCTTGAACTTGAATATGGAGGCTCCTTAGGTAGTTAATAAGCTAGAACTATTGGTAGCTAGGAGCAAAACGCATAACATAACAGCGTAGTTGAGTATTTGAAGGCCAACTCTGCAATCATTAGTATCATGGTTGAAGAACTACATGGTGACATAAACATTATTGCTCAGCCTATCTTTTTGTTATGGTTTATCGGGGGTCTACATCTAAATATCAAAGACGAGTGAAAACATATACCAAGGTTCAACTACTTCTAATTCTAACTATACCTTCATATCTACTTACTTCTCTCCGAGGCGAGCCAATTCCTACCCTATCCTATCCTATCCTATCCTATCCTATCCTATCCTATCCTATCCTATCCTATCCTATCCTATCCTATCCTATCCTATCCCATTGCTCAACAGTGAACAGTTGAGCTCAGACGAAAAAAGATGAGGCTCCAGATGAGGCTTCAGAAGAGTAGGCTTGCACTCCTGTGCCTGCTTTTCTGGCAGCGGGTGGTGCCGGGAGCATATATGCCTCGCCAATCCAGACGGGATCTGGATTTACTGCAGCATGGTGGAAGTAGTGCAACAACACTTTTCAATGCTCAACAACCTCTGCAGCCTGTGCCTGCACTTGGTCAGCGGACCACGGATGGGAGTTCTTTCATAGTAGAACCATGGCGAGGGCAGCTACTATCGAACGGAGGAGGGCAAGGACAAATACTTAACGGAGGTGGCGCAACTACTGGTGGACTGACGCGAGTTGCCATACCTCAGCAAGGATCGCTTGGACTAGCAGGAAGTGACTTCTTATTGCAAGCTCCTTTGCAGCAACCAGGAGCAGCACAACTACAAGCTGGCTCGCAGGTAGTACACCAACATCAAGCAGCACAACGACAAGCTGGCGCGCACCAGTTCCTACAACAAGGAGCACAACTACAAGCTGGCGCACACCAGGTCCTACATCAAGCAGCACAACGACAAGCTGGCGCACACCAGTTCCTACAACAAGGAGCACTACTACAGCCAGCTGATTTAGTCCACCAGTCTTTTGAAGATCCTAGACATCAATATGGAGACCACAACCCAAAATTTTTGAGGCAAATACAACAAGGTATGTCAAGTCAGTTCCGAGGGGGACCAGTCGGCGCAGCAACGATAAAACCAATCCAACTTTTAGGAAATCAACAACAAGCTGGCGCAGCAGCAGGCACTGTACTACAACATCTACAACAAGCTGGTCTGTCAGGTGATGTACTTCCATCAAGCGTACTACAACATGTTTTACCACTACAATCTCAGGCGCAACAAGGGGGTGCTTCGATGCTAATGGGTGGACGCCCTAGTAACTCAAGTCCCAGTCATTTTGTGCAAGGTCCTACTCCGAAGAACAATCCTTTTCGGCTTCAACATCAAGGACTACTGCATTCTCAACAAGGACAGTCCCAACATCAAGTTGGGCAGCTGCTGTCTCAACAAGGACCACAGTCTCTTCAAGGTCATCAGCAGCAGCAGTTTCTTCAAGGTCATCAGCCGACCCTTGGTAACAATTACCCGCCTCATCATCTTCAACCAAATGTAGTCGCCCCTCAGCAACTCCAATTAAGGCTTCTGAATTGTCAGTGTCAAAGGGAGCTCCTGACTGGAAATAATTTCATGCAGAAGATTTGTTTTGAATAATTTTGATTTTCAGTACTTTGCATCCTGCCGGTAGGTTCTATATGCCTATTTGGGATGCACAGAAGCAGAACAGAATTGTTGAGCTCTAATAGTAATCTGGGAAGTTCTTGCACTGCAAGCGCAAGAAGAGGCACTCGATGAAAAAAGGCATGACGCTACTCGACAGAAAA